CCTGTCCTGAACAAACCATCCAGTCACTAAGGCACTAAAGCAAAAGTATACATCTAAAGCTGTCTTCTATTTTTGTTAATGACAGAAAGAAATGACACTGGCTTACATAGTGTCTGTTGGGACCCATCTCAGCTACCCATCCTGATTATCTTTCTGAACAACTGACGCATACAACATACACATCAGCAGAGCAAAAAATTACCAGATATATAAAAGTACTCAGTGGTTTAAATGAAACAATCAGAGCAAATAACCCTAAATGAAAAGCACTTCATAAGAGAATTTTCCCTCCCTGTTTCCTGTGTATGTATTTTTAATAATTCTTATTCTTACACTGTATCAATAAAGTAAGACCAGGCTCTTAGGGGAAGGAAACAATATATAACAATTCTTACAGATAAAAATATAACTGCATAATGGAAAAGAAAAAAAAACCAGCAGCAATGAACACAGCTAGTTTGCTTCAATCTTGCTTTCTAATGCCATCCCCTAATAAAACGTATCAACTTTCTTTGGAGAAATGGTTGACTCTAGGACTGAGGAAGCAAATAGATAATATGAGCCTGGAATATCTTATAATGCCAGAAAGTAATACAGTGATCAAAAATACAAAACAAAAAACCACAAGGATGGGGTCCAAAGGGACACAGAAGACAATTGAAACAGCTCCTGGGACTTCCCTGGTGGTCCAGTGGTTAAGACTTCACACTTCCAGTACAGGAGCAATGGGTTTGATTCTCTGGTCAGGGAAGATCCTGCATGCTATGTGGTATGACCAAAAAAAGAAACAGCTTCCAAGTGGCTAAAGCTGAAATAATCTGAGCAATAAAATAAAGCCATTTTGGACTGTAACACAAACTGTAAAATTAATTTCATGAGTTTGTACTGATACAAATAAATGAGGAGACAAATCTCCTATGCAGTTCAGTTCAGTTGCTCAGTCGTATCCGACTCTTTGTGACACCATGGACTGCAGCACACCAGGCTTCCCTGTTCATCACCAACTCCCGGAGCTTGCTCAAACTCACGTCCATCGAGTCAGTGATGCCATCCAACCATCTCATCCTCTATCATCCCCTTCTCTTCCTGCCTTCAATCTTTCCCAGCATCAGGGTCTTTTCCAATGAGTCAGTTCTTGGCATCAGGTGGCCGAAGTATTGGAGTTTCAGCTTCAGCATCAGTCCTTCCAATGAATATTCAGGACTGATTTCCTTTAGGATTGACTGGTTTGATCTCCTTGTTATCCAAGGGACTCTCAAGAGTCTTCTCCAACACCACAACTTGAAAGCATCAATTCTTCGGTGCTCAGTCTTCTTTATGGTCCAACTCTCACATCCATACATGACTACTGGAAAAACCATAGGTTTGACTAGACGGACCCTTGTCAGCAAAGTAATGTCTCTGCTTTTTAATATGCTGTCTAGGTTGGTCATAGATTTTCTTCCAAGAAGCAGACATCTTTTAATTTCATGGCTATAGTCACCATCTGCAGTGATTTTGGAGCCCAAGAAAATAAAGTCTCTCACTGTTTCCATTGTTTCCCCCATCTATTTGCCATGAAGTGATCGGACAAGATGTCATCATCTTTGTTTTTGAATGTTGAATTTTAAGCCAGCTTTTTCACTCTCCTCTTTCACTTTCATCAAGAGGCTCTTCAGTTCTTCTTCGCTTTCTGCCATAAGGGTGGTGTCATCTGCATATCTGAGGTTATTGATATTTCTCCTGGCAATCTTGATTCTGCTTGTGCTTCACCCAGCCAAGCGTTTCTCATGATGTACTCTGCATATAAGCTAAATAAACAGGATGACAATATACAGCCTTGACGTACCCCTTTCCCAATTTGGAACGATTCTGTTGTTCCATGTTCAGTTCTGTTGCTTCTTGACTTGCATACAGATTTCTCAGGAGGCAGGTAAGGTGGTCTGGTATTCCCATCTCTTGAAGAATTTTCCACAGTTTGTTGTGATCCACACAGTGAAAGGCTTTGGCATACTCATAAAGCAGAAGTAGATAATCTCCTAAGCAGGAGAACCCCAAATAACTTATGTAAATACTCAGCCCTCAAGGAAATGGAACATAGCTCCCTGTTCCTTATGTGTAGACTATTTATGGTGATTTCCTTCCAAAGAGTACAGTATGGGAAAAGGAGAAAAGAATAATCAACAATAAGAACCTGAAAAATGCTACCTCAACCAGATGATCAAGGTCAACATCAACAGGGACAAGTCATATTGATGCATGTACTTTCACGTGATGTGACAAAAATAACACTTCTGTGGTCTTCCTCCCAAAACACACAGCTTCAGTTTAATCATGAGAAAAACATCAGGCTAATCTTAATTAATGGACATTCTACAAAATATCTGATCAGTTCTCTGACACATACACACTACTGTATATAAAACAGATAACTAATAAGGACCTACTGTACAGCACAGGGAACTCTACTCAGTACTCTGTAATGGCCTATGAGGGAAAACAATCTTAAAAAGAGTGGATATATTTATGTGTATAACAGATTCACTTTGATGTACATCTGAAACTAATACAACATTGTAAATCAACTATACTCCAATTAAGAAAAAAAAAGAATGATACAAAAGAAAACTGTCAAGATTATCAAAAACAAGGAAAGTCTGAGAAACTATCACAACCAAAGAGAGCCTAAAGAGACCTAACGACTAAATGTAATGTGATGTCCTGGATAGGATCAGAACAAGGACATAAAGGAAAAACTAAGAAAATCTGAATAAGGTGAGGACTTCAGTTAATAATAACGTATCAGTATTGGTTCATCAATCATAACAAATGTACCATGTCCATATGTAAGGTGTTAAATGCCAGGGTATATGAGAACTTTCTGTACTATATTCACAATTGTGTTGTAAATGTTACACTGTCTAAGATTAAAAACTTTACTAAAGATCAAAAAAGAAGATGGAAAGATGCTGAAGTAAGGTATGGGGAAGCCTGAACCAAAAATCTGTTTTAGGGTTTGGTAATGTGTGTCAGATTTTGGAGGAATAGAAGTTGGTTGGCTGTATCCAGGGCAGAAGGACTTTAAAGGAAATGAATGTTTGGCTGGAATTTTTAATTAAGCATTTTTATAAAAGTGGTGCATAATAAGCTTCATGAGCTTATTAAATACTATTTGAAATGCACATTGAAAATTTTAAATTAAGATACTCACTGGTAAGGGAAAAAGCCCTCAATAAAGGCAGCTAAACAACAGATTGGATTCTGCAGATAACTGAATTGAGAATTAAAAGACCAATCCCAAAGTCCCCCCAGAAACCAGGAGTAAAAACAATGATGAGAAATTTAAGGGGAAAACAAAGGTATGAAAAATAAGTTTAAGACATTTCAAAATATGTACAATAGGAATTAAAGGAGTAGAAAAACAAAGATTGGGGATCAAAAAAAGAATAGAAAAGATATTAACTGGAAAAAAGATTATGATCTAAAGGTCAAATGGGGTATGTGCTGGTCAGGAATAAAAAACAGCCAGAACTAGACAAATTCTGGTGAAATTTATGAGTTCCAAGGATGAAGATCACATAGATAAGAAGAAACAAAAAGGTTTCATACAGAGGAAAAACTAGTAGAAACTTCATCAAGGAAGAAACCAAAACTGAAATTATAGACTATTAAGAAATTAATGAGAATGAGCAAACTATGCCCCCAAATCTACAAAGGCTGCTCAGACTGTGTTCAAAAGAGTGGCTTCTTATCTAGTAACAGTTATGGGATCCTGGCAACTTAACTTCCTAAATCTTCAATTCCTTATTATTTAAAGATAATAAGATCGGCTACTTCCACTGTGAAAATTACATGCCAGGCATTGTTCTAGGGGCTTTATGTGTACACACTTATTTCTCTCCCATAACAGACATGTAATGTAGACTATGTAATTTTCCCATTTCACAGATGAAGAAATAGGAGCATAGAGAAGTCATGTCACAAGTTATACACAGCAGCAACTGTAGCTCAAGTCCGCACTCATAACCTCTATGCTAAAGACTTAGGAGGCCTTGTGAAGGCTTAGCAGGCTTTACAGGTGTTATGAGGATTCATCGAGATAATGAAGTAAAACATGTGGCATGTGTCTGCCATACGGGTGTACTCAATAACTGGAGCTATTATTTGTTAAAGAAATGAAGCAAACATGTGACTCAAGGAGCTCGAAGAGGAACAATAAAATAAATCTAAATCATGTAAGGAGAAGGCAATAATAATAGTAAAGTAAATAATAGTAAAGGCAATAATAATTTATAAAGAAGCAAAAAAGCTAAATTAGAATGATAAGAAAAATCATACACAGTATTGATAAATAAAAGCATAACTTGATTCACTGAAAATAAACAACTAAACAAATTTCTCACAAGTTTCCTCAGAGAGAAAATGTGAGCAAAATGCACGGTATCACTACTTTGTTAGCACAAACCTTGGATCATCTTATAGGAAAATGCACAATTAAAAAAAAAAAAATCAAGCTGTGGAAAACCTAATAGCGCACTAAGAAGCTAAAAAACAGAAAATGCCAAAGTGTTAACCTCCAAAAGTCATCAGAACCAGATTTTATGGAAAAGTTCTTATGACAATTTAATTCATTCAGCATTTTTTTTTTAAAAGAAATGGTTTGCTTTCCATTGACCTTATTTGCATTTTCTGTTTGAGAATCTATGGAAGAAGAGCTTAAGATGTCCCTACCGATTGGCTGCAGTGTGGCCCTGGGAAGGTGGGCTGGCTCCTCCTCAGCAGGGAATCACGAAATATAGCAGAGGGCACCTGAAAGGCCTTCCCTGGTGGCTTAGAAGGTAAAGCGTCTGCCTGCAATGCAGGAGACCAGGATTCGATCCCTGGGTGGGGAAGATCCCCTGGGGAAGGAAATGGCAACCCATTCCAGTACTCTTGCCTGGAAAATCCCATGGACGGAGTAGCCTTGTAGGCTACAGTCCATGGGGTCACAAAGAGTCAGACACGACTGAGCGACGACACACAGCTGAAAGTGCAGCCCAGCTTGCTGCTTCTGGTTCAGGAACCATAAATTCGGCAGCTGAAGCAGTCGGTTCACCCTGAAGTTCCTCCTTGGTCACAATTTTTGCAGCTGTAGCCTGCTCCTCCTTCAGCATCTCTTCAAGGTCTCGGTAGAAGGAGAGCAGGTGTGACCTTTCGCGGGTGCTGGCGGGAGATGAGGCCATGCAGGCGCAAACCTTCCGCAGCCGGCATCTAATACAGCGGAACCATTGAGTGAACGCCCTTGCCCATGTGCAGCATGGCAACGTCCACAGGCTCAGAGTCTGCTTTATCCACAGCAACTTTGGGAAGGATAAATCAGACGGCCCTGGGATCAGTAACCACCAGAAGCTGCAATTGGCAGAAGGCAGCCTGGATCTGGTTAGTGAAGATTCCAGGAGAGAGGCAGCCAGCAATAGAAGTGGTTCCCTGTAGCTGCAACAAACTTTAGCACAGCCTGCTGGCCAGTCATCCTGGAGAATATGACATGACCTCAGCAGGATTTTCAAAGTCAGCAATGGCAGGAGCTGCCAGTAGCAGCTTCTCCCAGGTTCTCCTCAGATTTCATACGTAGACTCCATCACTTTTCCTTTTGCATAGGTGCTGTTTCACTTGGAAGTCAAGGTTGGTGCCACCTAAGTGGGTTCCTCCTGCAAGAAATTTGGAGACATCCTCCTCCTTCATTTGCAGGACATGAAGGGCTCTCGATACTGTGAAAGTTTCCCGTTAAGACAGGAACCTAGAAAAATGCTGTGGACCCCTCTCTGAGTAGTACAGAAAGGACAGCAAATAGTCTAATGCTGTGTCCTAGGCAATGTTGTTGGGCTTCCCAGGTGGAGCTAGCAGTAAAGAACCTGCCTGCCAGTGCAGGAAATGCAAGAAACTTGGGTTTGATTCCTGGGTGGGGAAGATCCCCTGGAGAAGGACATAGCAACCCACTCCAGTATTCTTGCCTGGAGAGTTTCATGGACAGAGGAGCCTGGCAGGCTACAGTCCGTAGGGTCTCAAAAATCGGACAGGGCTGAAGCGACTTAGCATGCATGCAGGCAGGCACTGTTGTCACTAGGCTTTTGTAAATGAACAAGAAAAATCCCCTGCTTTCCATGGAAGCATGATGGAACACTGAAAATTCTCATACTAGTGAAACTCTTCGAAAGTATAGAGAAAGATGGAAAGCTTCCCAATGCACTTTATGAGGATAGTATGTGTGTGTTAGTCGCTTGGTCGTGACTGACTCTTTGCGACCCACATGGATTGTAGCCCACCAGGCTCCGCGGGCCGTGGAATTTCCCAGGCAAGAATACTGGAGTGGGTTTCCATTTCCTTCTCCGGGGGATCTTTCCAACCCAGGGATTGAACACGCATTTCTTGCATCTCCTGCACTGGCAGGTGGATTCTTTACCACTGCGCCCCCTGGGAAGCTGAGGCTAGCATAACCCTGACCAAAACCTGAAAAAGCAAGCACACACACAAAAGAAACATTAAGAATTTGCTGATGGATGTGGTAATGTAGGTAATGTATTAACACAACCATTTTCCCCTGTAGAAAGAGAATTTGTCCTTTCCATTAATTTTGTAGTTCTATTTCCCTGAACACTGGATGAAGGTAAAATATCAACTGGGCCCAATTAGTAAAGTGTATGGACAAGGAGGACTACCAATGAACTATAAATTTCTCCTGGGGACATCACAGCCTTGGGGTCCCCTGAATACAAGGGACTTGGAAACTCCCTCACGATTTATTACAAGAGATATTGGCTTCTATGGGGTACAAAGCCTTTCAGCCACTCTTATCCTATCCCCTCCCCTTGGGAATCTTCCTTCTTCACATCCGAGCCATCTCATATGGATGGCTAAAGGAACAACTCCTGGATGACAGCTCCCACTGAGAACAGTGACTAGTGCTGCCCTCCTGTAAATTATGTCCATCTTCTACCCTTCAGAGAAGTTAGGTACTAAGTGTGACTTAGGATAGGCTTGTGAGTCTGAATGTTTAGTTGAGCTTACATTTAGCTGAATGTTTGAGCCTAGGAAGACCTCCTAGTGTGCATTACAAATTAAAAATTCAAAAAAAGGAATAGCAAATTGGCCAGCACTGTATTAAAATGGTAGTGTAGTATGACCAAATAGAATTCACTGAAGGACTGTAAGAATGATTCAACATTTGGTAATCTATTAAAATAATCTATCACATGAATAAAAGATAAAAAATAAAATTCGTGATCTGGACAGGAACTTAAAAAACACACTTGATAAAACTGAGTGATCATTTCTTTTTTTTCTTTTTCTATGATTTCACTTTTTAAAATTTATTTATTTTTAATTGAAAAAATAATCGCTTTACAATATTGTGTTGGTTTCTTCCATATATCAACATGAATCAGCCACAGGTGTACATATATCCCTTCCTTCTTGAACCTCCCTCCTGCCTCCCACCTTATCCCACCTCTCTAGGCTGTCACAGAGCCCTGGTTTGAGTTCCCTGAGTCATAGAGCAAATTCCCACTGGCTATCTATTTTACATATGGTAGTGTGTATGCTTCCATGCTACCCTCTCCATCTGTCCCACCCTCTCCTTTCCACCCCCATGTCCACAAGTTTTTTCTCTATGTCTGTATCTCCATTACCACCCTACAAATAGGTTCATCAGTACCATCTTTCTAGATTCCATATTTATGTGTTAAAATATGATATCTGTTTTTCTGTTTTTGACTTACCTTACCCTGTAAAATAGGCTCTAGGTTCATCCATCTCATTAGCACTGACTCAAATGTGTTTCTGAGTGATCATTTCTAATAAAAACTTATAAACTAGAAATTCAAATTCTTTATGAAGAAATCAATAACTAACATGATATTTAAATAAAAAACACTGAAAATTTTACCAGTAAAGTGAATGCCCACAAGGCTTGCTATGATCACAATGGCATTTCCTTAAACCTAGCTACAAAATAACAACAAAAAGGAATCAGACATAGTATTCTAAAGAAATTGATTAGAGCAGCAGGGGTCAGCAAATGAGCTCATTACTTGTTTATTTTTAAATAAAGTTTTATTAGGACAAAGCCACTTGTTTATTTTTAAATAAAGTTTTATTAGGACAAAGCCACTTGTTTATTTTTAAATAAAGTTTTATTAGGACAAAGCCACATTAATATAAATATGTAAAATCTCTATTTTCCTGCTATAGCAACAGAGTTGAAGAGCTGGGATAGAGACCCAGCTTTGTAAGATGGCTTACAGTTTGAAATATTTACTAACTGGATATTTAAGAAAAATTTTCTATGCCTGGACAAAAGGATTATTTTCAAATGAAAACATCTACTTAAGGAATAAAAACAAGAGAATCCATTGAAAATCATTCAAACTAACAAGAGGATTTGGTAGTTGGTGGGTACAAAATAAAGATACAAATGTTAATCGTTTTTCTCTTGTGTTGGATTGCATCATTTGGCCTAGGTCCTCCCTACTCCCCATATTCACCCTCTTTGCCAGTAACTGCAACATGTCCTCTCACTATGGACAAGGTGTCCTGCTTTGCTCATTGATCAGCCATATGACTTGCTTTGGCACTGGCATGTAGGCAGAAGAGATGCAAACAGAGGCTTAGAAGAAACTAAGCATTGGGCTTACTCCTACACATCTTCCACTACTATGAGAAGAACATTCCCATGGGATTATCCCAATAGTCTCAGGTATGTGGAAGCTGGTCCCAACCTAGATTAACCTACTACTGCAAACCTGAAGATGTGTAAGTGAGCCCAAAGATCAGCAGAGCTGTTCAGGCAAGCTCACATGAACCCCGTAAATTAGGTGAAAATTAATAGGTGAAATTAATGATTATTTTTGCATGCCACTAAGGTGGTATGGTCTTTTGTTACATATAAAAAGCTGATTATTATACATATATATTAACAATAACCAGTTAGAATACGTAACCCTGTACCCAACAGCTATTAAAATAGTAAACACCTCAGCTCTTTCTTTACCATTTTATACCCAGCTACCTACTCAACATGGCCACTGGCTGCTTAATAGGCATCTCAAACTAAACACATCCAAAACAAAATTCATCCCACCTCAACTCCTCCACTCTATACCTCTTTCTTCTGCAGTCTTCCTTATGTCAGTCCTTAAACAGTCTTCTCCTTCTCTCTCATCATTTAGCCAGCAATCAGCACAATCTATTGGCTCTATTTTAAAAATACATCCATATTCTGATATATCTACCAATATTAACATCAATTTGGTCAATAGCAGCCTTGCAGACCTAACTCTTAGGGGCGATCAAGTCTTCCACTCTTGGTCCCAGTTATTCTCCAGGCAGCAGTTATTCTTCATGGCCTAAAATATAGGTCAAATCATGTTATTCCTCTGCTCAAAGCTCTCCAATAGTGCCAACTTTATTTCTAGTAAACTTTTCAGTCCTTCTTGCTGCCAATCAAGCTTTTTGTGATTTGCCTTCTGGCCCTCTCTTTGACCCCATTTCCATTCTTGTCTTCGATCATTCTGCTACAGAAACATTTGCCTCCATGCTGTTCCTCCTGCATAGTAGACACACACTATCCTCAGGACCTTTGAACTTTCTATTCTCTCCACCTGAAAATGTTCTCCAAGCTAACTCCCTGACTCACTCACCCACTTTCTTTGGGCCTCTACTCTAATCACTGTATCAGAGATTTGATACGAAATCACTCTCCACCTTAAAGAACATAGCTCCCTACACAGACATAGAGGTTGGACTTGTGGACACAGGGCAGGAAGAAGAGGATGGGATACATGGAGACAGCAGCGCTGACGTATGTACACCACCATGTGTAAAATACACAGCTGGTGGGAAGCAGCTGCGTGGCACAGGGAGCCGGTGGGAGCTCAGCTTGGTGCTCTGAGATGCCCGGGAAGGCAGGACGGGAGGAGGTGGAGCGAGGCTCAGGAGGGAGGGGTACAGGTATACACACTGACTCATGCTGCCGTACACAGAAACTAACACAACTTAGTAAACCAATTATATTCCAACTAAAAAAAATTAAAAACATGGCTTCCACCCTCTGCCACTCATTGTTTCCTCACCTGCTTTTGATGTTCAAGGTACTTAAGACCACCTGACTATTACCAAGCTATTCATTTGTTTGTTGTCTCTCTCTGATTTCTAGAATGTAGGCTTCCCAAAATAATGTACTTTGTTT